ATGGCGTTACTGACCAGCAGATATAAAGGTGGGGAAATAACTTCATTTCAGACATGTCTGTAGGAAAGAACATGTTATTAAATTAAGACTCTTTATGGTCTTGTGGAATGTCGCGAGCCATTGGTATCGATGCTAACTTATTATGCAAAATATCTATTTAGCCCTTGTTTGTAACTCTGGATTGGTTTCAATTCCTACTGAGTAATCCGATTAAAAGCAAAGCTAGACAACTCGTCAAAAACGAAGTCTGCTCGTGACCCTATAAAATCAATCGTCCTTTCTTTTTCTTACCCTTCTTTCCAGCTCCCTGGAGATATGCTGCCGAAAACACATATGAAGCAAGTGACTTCGTCACGCACCATCATTAATGCTTCAGATGTTCCAGGAGAACGTAAGGTTGCAGTTTCTAGAAGCACTGAACTTTACGTGGATTTTTTCACTATCATCAACTGCACGTCGCAACACAACATTCATACTTACAATACGAGCCTAACTAGTACTATTTACACTCATAATTGGGAAGAGTTATTCCCAATTATTTTATACCAATGCACCTTATAATATATAAACCTAACTGAGTAACCTACTACAGTGAAGACTGTATCCTGTATACCAAGTCGACCTCGCGTGTACGCTGGCATGCCTCATGTAACAGACTATTAGTCGAGAACAAATTATTATTATTCTATGAGCTTTAAGCATATCACCACCTATCAACAACCCTGGACGCCCAGCTTGCAATCCTTCAGCTCTATAAAATCTAAGTGACACCTGGACCAGAGTCGTTTGACATCAGGTTCTACGTGTCCTACTGCCGATAAGACTGTCGCTCTGCAGTTCCGCTCAACGTGCACAAGATCATCTGATTCTCAAATCGGATAGCTACCGTTCGTAATGCCTGATTAAAAACTGGTAATTGTTGATCCTACTTCTAAATGTTCGGAAGTCCACTGTATGACGTCTGTGTTATCGAAAGCTACTATGGAAAAATTGGGATAGATAATATACTGATTCGTGTCTCTGGATTTGTTGGTATCAGATGGTGGATCTCATTTCACCAATGTGAAGTTTTCGAGGGTTTGGATCTTCAACGTCGAGAAACGTACAAAGACACTCATTAACCACCCGTAATCTAACGGACTAGATACCAGGGGCGTGGACACATTTAAAAGAGCACTGCCTAAAATTGAGAAAGAAGTAAGAATGAGCGATACAAATTAAAGATATTTACTAACTTGCCGAGCACTAACAAACCCAGTAACGGTAAAATCGATGGAGTTGAACAGAAGCCGTACATGAACAATAAACTTGTTTACCAATGGAAAAAATGAATCCATGACTCAGAAACAGTCACAACAAAACAGTCGACTGGTTATCGTCTACAAAAGCATCGACGTCGCAATACCCACTTACATGCGCACTACCCTGCTTTACATGTTACCGCTAGTAAATGAGCATGGGATGCACACCATCATTTTCCATCCAACTCTGAACTGGACAATCCTTTTCAGTTATTGTCAGTCTCTGATCATCCGAATCATGTCTTCTCCCAAAAGCTGTTTTGTTCAAGGGTTCTTCAGAGTGTTCCACCCACCTATGCTTCTCTACTTGGATTACAGTTATCGGTTTGCCTACTTTATCCTTGCCCGGACTTTTTGGCTCAACATATTTCCCTACCAGCTTCATTGTTCTGTCGTAAAGTTGCCTCAAATTTCCTTCAATCTCAGCTTTTTCCACTGTCGTTGCTGTGTCTTCCACGTATTTTCGTTTGTCAGCTCTTGTGCTCTTCCTTACTTGTGAGTTTGCTTCTGTGTGTTCGTTATGCGCCTTGAATTTCTCTGGTTCGTCTGTTTTTCATTGCTGTCTTCTTGCTCTTCCATCCTTGGATCTTGTTCACTGTTTTGATGGAAATCCATTTCTGATAATAACGCTTGATTCGGTCCAGTATGTCATGAAAGGTTGAAGTTGGTGCTTGCTCCATCCCTTCCCAATTGTCCCCTGTATCAGTTTCTTCTTATTTGAGTAGATATTGTAAGGCTTGAAACCTGTTGTTGAGAGCTAACGTGAATTGGTTAAGTCTGCTAGTATGTCGAAGGAAGGCTGTGTTGAACCTTTGTAATGCTGTTTCCCCAGTTGTCCAGTTTTTCTTTAGCTTCAGTTTTATCTTAGCAAGCACCCGCTATTGGTGATCTGAAGCTGTTTCAGCTCATCTCCTGGTTCTCACGCGTTCCATCGATCATTAACCTTCTGAATTATTTAGTAATGCAAATGTGATTGATCTGGTTCTGTGTAATGTGATTCGGTGAAACTCATGTAGCATTGTGTATGTGTGTGGGAATATTGTGTCACCCATAACCGTCTTGTTGAATGCACATAAACTTGCGAGCCTGTCACCATTCTCGTTCCTTTCTCCCAGTCACTCCATGTTGTCCCATGTTATCTTGGTGCTCGATGTTGTTCGTTTCCACATCGTGGTTTAAATCTCCCATCAGGGTGGTTAGATTCTTCCTGGGACACTTCGCTATGACCGATTGCAGCCTCGAGTAGAACTGATCTTCATCATGTTCATTGCTATCATTAGTGGGTGGATAACATTCCTTGTGATTCCCTCCTTTGTCCTGAATGGTGCTTTAATGAGTTTAAGTCCATGAGATTTCCATTCTATAAGTGCATCAGTGCAACTCTCTGTGTGTGCAGAGCATTTTCTTAATCGTGATAAGAGTACGACAGCATCGCTGCCTAATCTAACCTTTTCTGTCGAGCTAGGGTCGAATGGGTTTCACTTATTCCTAATACCTCCATGTTGTATCTCCCTATTTCCGTACTTATTTGATTGGTCTCCCCAGCTTCGCACATTGTCCAACATTCCGTGTACCTATAATAAGTGTTGCTGTGATTGTTAGGAGGGACATCGGATAATATTTTATTACAGGTAAAATCCTAAACCAATAAGTAATGAAACAGGACCATTGTTTATTCTTCTAAATAGATGACTCTAAGAAAGGTTTCACCTCATTTAACGCGGCTAAAACGTTGGCTACAAAGTCTGCGGCAGGATGGTAACAATAAATTTGTAATCTTTTTAAGTCGATTTGACCCTCAGCATTAAGTCTCAAATGTTTATTCAAAGAACATCAAGCAGTATAATCGTCACCCTAATAACCGACGAAAATATTGGACATGGCGTCAAGGAATTTAACTTTTGCCTACCTATACAAAAACAACAGTGACGAGATGGGATATTCTATGGGAGTCGCCACTATTTTAAAAGGATTAGATTCCACAGTTTGCGGTTTAGAATGGTTCAGAGTAATGGTGGCTAGACAAATTTTTGTGGCAATCCTATTGGATGACCATCTAGCATCTCCATTGCAGATCACCAACGTAGATGATCCATGTCGAAATGATTGGAGGCCTACTCGAGTTGGACGTGAATGGTGTGACAAACTAGCTAACGTCGAAGTCACACCTCGTGGTCAGCACCTTACGTGGACTACCCATCGACGTATCAAGGTACCATAGATGCTCTGAAGACTGTACAACACAGAGGACGTTATTACAGAAACAAATTAGTTAAAGTAGATACAAGCGAAAGTAAGACCACTGCCGCATGAGCCAGTCCATGGCATACGATTAACTGATGCGCGTTGGTTGTCCCTGACCTTGACGAGGATCGATGATTTGCTCGATATTCAATGACCCATCTGCCGGATAATTTGGCTAGGGCTTAGTGACATTTCGCTGGCCCTACACCATCTTTGGTGATTTAGCACCTCTTAGTGAGGAAGATATTAAGCGTCAAGTGATGGGAATAATACCACATGCAAGAGAGATAAGTTTTAATAAGTGGTCACTTGATGGAAAGCAAGTAATAGTAAACGTAGGTGATCGTCATTTTTAGGTAGATTCTTGATTGTTTCAGTAGCTATTAATCCTATGGCAAATCTATTGTTAAAAATTGCAGTTCCTTTTATATGAATTTTGTTGATTAGTTTAGTCGAGGAGCACTTTGTAATAGAAAATACTGTTTGAAAACCACTAAAATCTCTTGAAACTGAAAAGGTTGTAAACACGTGACGAAGGACGAGAATCAACAAACAACTCAAAATAAATATTGCACAAACCAAATATAAAAATAATCATCAACAGCTAGGTAATATATATGTCTGTGATCTCAAATTGTTACAAGGATCGTATTGCTCCAGTCATCAATCTAATGGACTTTAATTCAGCTACACTGAATTTGTGAAAGTTGAATAAGCAGGTTTTGATAGAGTCAAATAAAGTTCGAAAGTACCAACTTGAGATAAACTTTCACAGTCAGAATTCAGAGTACGTATTTAAACAAAAGATCACATATCTAAAGTAGTATAACATTGAATTATTTTCCAGTATGAACAGTTTAGTGAATATCCAACATTTGGTACTGACCACGTTTGACAATAAGAAGTATGCAAACTGACATCCCAACTAAGAATTTTTCGAATAGTTCAATTTAAGACAGAACTATATGAGCACAACTGAACGTATTATATGTGGAGTTCCTAATAAGAGCAGAATAAATTGCAAAAAATTTATCATTTAGTACAAATAACACACCTTGTGGGATTTGAACTATAGATATGACTGAGTATGAGCGATTATGCGTCTGCCTTTGATTCAGCACTACCCACATTAGACATTTCTTCAATCTTTTATTTGTTAATTCATCAGTCCTAATCCTGTGGTGGACCAGACGATATATAAACGCAAAAAGTACCAACAAAGTTAATAAAAAATTAATAGAAATGTTAATATATATAAGTTAATTATTACAAATACAATAGAAAGTTGGGATTTTACTTAAGTTCACCAAAATGATGCGTGTTCGGCTTTGGTCTGGTACTAAGAAACCACAATTATAAATGCTTGGTAATTCCAATCTGGTTGACGAACTTTCCAGCGATATAATCCAACGTAGGATGTGATATATCCCAATTACAGTCTATAAATGTAGATAGTATTTGATTTAGACTTCAGTTAACTCAATCACAAACGAAGATAGAACGAGGCATGTATGAGTAGTAGTGTATTTGTTAGCCAGCAGAATATGTCACGCTGTGGTTGCACAATGGAAAAGTGTGTTCAAGGTCATTTACTAAAACAACAGTTACAGTCATTTAATGTTAAATATACATACAGTGAAAGGTTGACAAGATAAATAAAAACTATTTACAAAATAAGCTTGTCAGTCATATCTCCACAATCCCGTTTGTCAATACAAACTGCTAACTAAGCCGTTTCTTCTCCTTCTATTAATTCAATTTGTAAGCTGACATAACTCTCAACAGCTTCCATACTCTTGACTTTTCTCTGTTAGGTCGATCCCATATTTCTCTAATACATTTCACCACCCTGTCTAGTTAACATCAGCTGCGGAGACCTGAATAACAATGCATCTAATGAAAATAATTCAGTTTAGGTTTAATATACTGATTCAACATAACATCACACTTTCGTCACAAATGACGCAGCTTTATTGTTGTTTTGTTCCATTCGTTGTTCTTTTCTCGCATCCTTCCTTCATTAACACCATCTTATCAGTATAAATTTCTTTACTTGATACTTCTGATAATCCTTTCTACGGGAAGTTAGAACAGGAGTTACTCAAAAATTGCTAGCAAGAAGCAACAATTGGTATTCCTAAAATTTCAGCTTTTACTTCAGAAATTATCCGTTTACAATGTTATATTGCCTATCTCACTTCATTTCTCAACCAAAATCGATCATCATGACGCATCAGAAACTAAGTGTGCTAATTTGTACAATATTTCCATAATATAACCAATTGATAAATTCTAGAATAGTTGGGAAATAATGGTCTCAACTCATGATACATAAATCCGCCTACTGCAGGATGAATATTTCACTTGATCTGGACCCACTTCTAAATTCCAAAATACAGTTTTCTAAACTGTTTCTAAGCGTCTATCATGGTGCTTATATTTACATAACTAATAGATTACAACAACATTAATATGACTTTAGAATTCAGCATATTTCTACCAGGAAGTCCGGTCTGGAAATACCTATCATTCATTAACTCTGAACAACCATAGTAACAATAATGATAATAACAACACATTAGCTATGGCCAACCATCCAGTTATGAATAAATGAAAGTATTTACATCAGGATAACTGCAAGTCAAATTATTTTAAAGTTAATAATATGCAAAGAAATACTACTAAATATATAAATCTGAATGAATATGAAAATTCATACGGTGACTTGTCTGTAATACTATGTCATGATTTTAATTTGCAATTCATTGAATCACAATATAGTTTAACATTGATTACAATAGCTGGAATACTGCTGATTGTTATTAGACGTCTTTTTATAACAGTATAATTTACTGAAGTCAAACCTCCGATCGGATTGCGAATCAAGTTCATCTTAAAGAAAAAAAGAAATATGTATATATATAAACTAATCCAATTATACAACAATGAATTTCATTCAATAGTACTAAATTATGAAATATTTTCTTTTAACACAACCATTTACATGCTTGTATACATAGGACAAAAATGAACATGATCAAAATTAAGCATTTGTTAAGTAATTTTTGAATTTATATGCCTCTACGATTAATAGAGGTTACACAAAGTACTAGTGAACAGGTTAATGTGTATTAGTTCAAGATTATCAACTCCTAGCAAACTACATTTGAACAGTAAAACAATAGAATCCTCTTTTAAGAAATGGATAATTTACCTTTCAATATCATAAATGCAAACTATTAGGATGAACAGATGTTTGAAAGATATTTCAAATGAAAAATTTAGTGCAGTATATATATATATATATATATATATATATATATATATATATATATATATATATATATATATATATATGCATTTGACATATTTTTTTCTAAGGTCTGATAATTTTGAAACGATGGTGACAATTAACAGCCCAGTTCAACGTTTTAATGTTGCGTTTTCTGACATGAATTTTTATCACTAAGACACATTGTCGTTTCGGACATCATCAGTGCTAACTTCATAACGTGGTTGTGTTAATTGTTGAATAAAACAAATTTCGACGAATTTCACATTTTTTGTGATAATTCAAGTAATTCTTTCTGTATATGGTGAGACGATTTGAATTTGAGTTCGTGGAGGTGATTTCGTGACGGCAGATTTATATTCATTAGCTTCTCATCTATTCCAGGTATGTCTTAATATCCCTTCAATTTCGCTGGTTTTCAGGTTTTTTGTTGTTTAAACGACTGGTAAAAGGAGAACTGATAAGCATTAAGAGGAAATTCGAAGTTTTTTCACCTCTCTGTTAATCTTATTCAACTTAAAATCTATGGAATTAGATAGTAATGAAAAAATTAAGATAAGTTGATTGTATTTAAAAAATGATCAATTTTTAACAACTTACAACATCAGGATTATAGTAGGTCTTAACGTCTCGTTTATGTTGATCTTCTTGATGAATATGACGGAAAGCTTTCAGCCCCATGGTAACATTAATTGGCGTTACAATCTAATAAGTTGGTTGAAAAAATCATGAAATGTAAACTTTTTCAAAAACCTTAGTATATTTGGATTGTAGAAGTAAACTTATAATTAATTAAATATTTGTTTATATATTATGCACTAGATCGTACAATTTAGGTGGTCAAGGACAGTTATGTGAAGCGTGAATATGGTATCTGAGAGTTGACGTCAGTTAAAGTGACCTACAAAAAGTTATTTCATAACAAATAAAACGTTATTTTAAATGCATCACCATCGAAAAATCGGTCCAAAATCATTGGGATCAATCAAATTTATAAATTTTCCAACATGATCTTTATTCCTCAAACATTTTGTCTGTATTTTCTATTTGAAGTAAACCACAAAAAATATCTGGTGCACTACAAGTTTGAGGTAGAGTGAGGACATTCATTACTGGGTCATCAATTTTCAATTCAAAAGTTTTATGAGAAATAATGAAAACGTAGTCTATATTAGAAGTTTCTTTAATCAAAACTCCCAAAAGTTTTACATTTAAACAACCTGAAAGTGACGATCTACAGAAGATTCATAAATGATTAGTGATGAAGAAGACACATACGTACAATCTACCAGTACTGCGAATCAGTATGATATGTGAATCCAAATGATAGGCGGAAAGTGAATTAAATCAATTATTTAGTTAAATAAAAACGTCTGCAAAAAAGACAAAAACAAAGTGATATGTTTAACGGGTACATATTTGTAAGCCAACATGACATTCTGGAACTAAGCATTTAGAGTGTCAAGTGTTGCTTAGGTTTGCACATATTGAGAAAGAATACTTCTTTTTATGATAGCTACGATGAAACCAGCGAGACCAATCAAACAATATCAGAAATAGGGAGATACAACATGGAGGTATTAGGAATAAGTGAAACCCATTCGACCCTAGCTCGACAGAAAAGGTTAGATTAGGCAGCGATGCTGTCGTACTCTTATCACGATTAAGAAAATGCTCTGCACACACAGAGAGTTGCACTGATGCACTTATAGAATGGAAATCTCATGGACTTAAACTCATTAAAGCACCATTCAGGACAAAGGAGGGAATCACAAGGAATGTTATCCACCCACTAATGATAGCAATGAACATGATGAAGATCAGTTCTACTCGAGGCTGCAATCGGTCATAGCGAAGTGTCCCAGGAAGAATCTAACCACCCTGATGGGAGATTTAAACCACGATGTGGAAACGAACAACATCGAGCACCAAGATAACATGGGACAACATGGAGTGACTGGGAGAAAGGAACGAGAATGGTGACAGGCTCGCAAGTTTATGTGCATTCAACAAGACGGTTATGGGTGACACAATATTCCCACACACATACACAATGCTACATGAGTTTCACCGAATCACATTACACAGAACCAGATCAATCACATTTGCATTACTAAATAATTCAGAAGGTTAATGATCGATGGAACGCGTGAGAACCAGGAGATGAGCTGAAACAGCTTCAGATCACCAATAGCGGGTGCTTGCCAAGATAAAACTGAAGCTAAAGAAAAACTGGACAACTGGGGAAACCCACCGAACATCGAAACAACAAACACAGATTCATCTATAGATGTCACCCCACCAACGATCGAGAAAATCAGGATAGTCATCAGGCAGATCAAGAGTGGGAAAACAGCTGGACCTGACAACATACCAACCAAAGCACTGGAGTCACACACGGAAGCAACTGCAAACATGCCTCACACACTATTCAGTAAGAGTTGGGAGGAAAGACAAGTGCCAACAGACTGGGAAGAAGGATATCTCATCAAGACACTAAACAAAGGAGATCTGAGAAAATGCGAGAACTACAGAGACATCACACTACTGTCTGCCATGGTACGGCGGAGAGTGGGGAGAGTCAACTCTCACACTCGAAATTTTCTCACATAACCACGTGCATACCATCACTGCCAGGAAAGTCCTACCCACTGCCTTCTCGCGGCAGGGGTGTTGTTTACGAAACTGAAAGAGCGAAAAAGAATTTTCGGTGGATATGGAGGATCCACAATGGAGATTTCGAAAATCCTGTTTCCAAGCCAATGGTGCACACGGGCTCCAGGATCCTAAGGAAACAAACGACATAAGAAGCCATTGTTGGTCACCGGCTACCATGTGACCGCATCTATTTACGTCACTCCACCACCTTGCGGATTAGACTTTTGGGTCAAAGGCTAGAGGTATGCCTCTCGAAAAAAACCACTTGTTTCGGTTTAGGCAACCGGGCAGTATCACACAAATCGGACGACTTATGTGGAGCATATCTATTTGGTGCCTCCTTGTACCAATATTTGTGTTTAAATAACAATAAGTCTAATGATAAGGTTAATTGATGGCAATCAGAAGTGATCTAAATTTTAGATGCATTTCATTGGCTATGAAAGGGATCGATTTCCTAAAGATTAGAATGGTATATATATATATATAAACTTTCCCGCTCAAGTATTCATTTGGGAGGTTAGCACGTAGCAAACGGTGCATCAGTATCAGATTCCGGACACTGCTCGTCACAAGACTATCAGTACTCGGAAAAGCATTCAGCAGTGTTGTTGAACCGGATGAAAGATTCACTAAACGCCCAACATTGAGAACAATAGGACAGATTCCGTGGGGACCGGTCATGCACAGTCAAAACAGTGACACTACTGATCAATGGAATGAAATTCGTCACTATACAACAACTTCATTGACTATGAGAAAGCATTTGACAATGTGAATATAACGATATGGAACCTTCAACACTATAGTGTACCTGGGAACGTCGCCAACATCATCCGGAAGTCATACGATGGACTACACTGCAAATTTGTGCATGGAGGACGGCTGAATTCTATGTGAATACTGGTATCATTAAATAATTTTTTCCGAAAGGAGCTTTCTAATAAACTAATAAACGTGAAACCTCAATAAAATACTATACCAAATAGTTTGTTGACTAATCTGCAAACTCGAATTTACTAACATTAACTGAAAACAAAAACAAAAGTAAAAGAACTGTTTTATTTCAACCAGCAAAGAAATTCATATGTGAATTAATATCAATATGAATTCTGATTATTATTACCTTAAATCCTTTCGATTTTAAACGTATCTGAAATTCATCATCCTCTCGTCCCCATCCCCAAAATGAGTTTGACATACCACCAACTAAGCTGTATTGAGTTCTTTTAATGATTAAAACACCACCGGCATATTCTTTAAAATAATAATAACGCGGATGAAGATAAAATGGAATAAGATGAATCGGTCCTAATTCCGATGGCATATTATATTTTAATGCAGGATCTTCAGGTAGTAAGTCAACATCATGTAAAGCCAAATATTTTGTAAAAGGAAGTTTTAAACATTGTGAAGATAACTGATACAATGAATTTTTTTGAGTAACACTTTCAACAATAATTCCATTAACTTCAGCTTCAAGTGACTCAAGTGCTCCTACATTTAACAAAGCTCCTCTATTAAACCTGAAATAAATTATTAAGACTTTATAATACTATATCTTATATGGCTTTGCTAGCGTATATAATGTATGCCAGGCACAACAAACGTCGAGCCCGAAAAAATGTGTTGTATTCCACGTTGAAAAACAACAGTACGAAAATACAAAATTAACAAGATGAATAGCAAAGAAATCGAAATAATGTGGTAGCAATAATTATGAGTAAGAATGAGCATTGAGAATATGGTACAAAACACCGAGTGAAAACATACTTACGCCAGTTACCCCTCATGAAAGAGCATGGGCTGCTCATTAGCATTCTCCATCTAACTCTATTCTGAGAGATCATTTCTAGTTCTTTCCAGTTCCATAAGGACCTTGTATCCACTGAGTGAAAACGTATGAATAAATTCATATTGAATCCGAAGACTTGGAGAATGCATGGGCACCATTTCGAACGGTTCTGATAAATGTCACTAACTATTGACTGAGATTATCACATAGATCCGAACCAGGGAGCTCACATTTAGTTACATGGCATAAATAAACAGTCAATGAATTCATGAACTGGTGCCACGTCACAGTGTGGCCACAACTAACTTCAATTCAAGCCATATATATATATATATATATATATATATATATATATATATATATATATATATATATATAATCATATATTATTTAGACATAAGATGTTTCGGAATTCAGCTCACCGAAGATCATCCACTTGATTAATGATAAAAAATGTATGACGAACGTTTTGATTATTGAGGAAGTTGTTTAAATGAGGTATGAATTCTTGCAATTCAGTGAAACGGTCTCTAAACGGTACTAAAACTGCCATACGATTAATAGTAGGGTCTTCTTTAGAGTGATCAAATACTGGACAATTCTGACTACCAGCTGGACCCCACTTCCAATCGGATATCCTTATTATTGCATCACTGACGATATAATGTTTAGTGAAATATAGGAATGCTGCAAAGAAACACAGTGTTATAAAAACGCATGTTTTGCCTTTGTATTTTCGACAGTGAAGCTGAAATAAAAACCAAAAAAATAATCTGAATGATTGGCAAAAATCTGCGTAAAAAATACGACATATTGTCCTCGTTATTGTTTACGAAAGGAAAACAGACTGAATTCTTAGGAATTGCTGATTAAGATAACAGAAAGACAGAGGTCTCATTTGATGAATGAAGTTCCTGACCGTTGCTGCTATCTTGATATGGTGGTCGGGCTTGGCTGTCGTAATGAACCAATCAAGCTATACTGCATGGAACAATAGTTCCTCAAGGTCCTACCATACCAGACAGGTCGGTTGAAGAGCGGTAAAACTAAAATCAGCTAACCCAAAGTCCGAATGCGAAGTCATACTGCTAGCTGTACAAAAGTGTGATGGCAGTAAGGTATTTCCTTCAGACAACCAGCATAGCAACGATGCTGCCTTCCCACAAAGAAAGGGTAGAGTTAGAAAAGGTTGACCCTAAATATGTACAACTCGCCTCCGTCTCCGGCGGTAAGGTCCCATAAATACGGAGCTAACACGAAAATTACTCACATAAAGGTCGTGTGTAACCGACCTCAATCAGTTGTACCTTGGGCACTGCGGTCAGGCTCTCAGGTCACTAAGACCACCCCTAACCCAATTTTCTTTTCAGGTAACTCCAGAAGAACCCTTCCACGGTGTGGGCAACCTGGAAGTGATAACTGATCTCATACCTCTAACAGCACTCGAGATCAGTGCTAATGAGGTGTGGCAACTAGGACCGATGCATATATGTGCTTGGTCCTGCATTGTAACTGACTGATGAGTGAAGTTACATCCATTATATTGGATAGTGATCAAAACACAAAGACTCTAGCGGGGTTTTTCTTCTGAGCTGGATGGTTCAGTCGTGGAGCTTTTTAATCTTCTTCTGAACGACATCGTCAATACAAACTTCAAGTAGAAGTGAAGTGGTCGAAGTTCTCCACATATATAGCCCACAGCTTGTCATGTAGACCTCGATCTCTAACCTGTAATTGTTTATTTTGATTGTATCTCCCACTGATTTAATTCTCGATCCCATATTTGTCCATAATTTCTCTGATTGGTCGATAAATTGGAAATCGATCCACTTGAGAACAACTGTATTTTCTTTACGAGTGTTTTCTTCAGCATATACTGCTAACATGTGTAAGATAAAGACCTCCAATCAACTGCCCAATGGGATGGAGAATAGCTGAACAAAGTGGAGGAAAAATGGCACACATAATGATAACTGATGCACAATATAGAATCCACAAATACCAACACATCATGGATAACAAAAAGAGGAAGCTAGAGAGGATACTTACGTCAGAATATTTGGCAATCTTGACAACAGCCATAGAGATATCGTGCAGACAACACAGAGAGCAATGACGAAACACCCTTGAGAAAAAACTAATCGAGATTTCATAACCACCCACGGAAGAAAACAAACAAATGGGTGGTCAAGCTGTCATAGCAACCGCTGAAAAACATAGAACACCTACTCAGAAAAGGATTAAACTACAATACAAGTGACGCCTCGAAACTTCACAACAATCATCCACTCGAGCTACAAATCTCCATAATCTCAAGTACTGAGACTCAAACTATACATATATCCAGTTAACATTAAGCTAGTACGATTATCTGAAAAACTACAAAAACCTCTAACATTTATAAAACTCGAAATAATCTGAGGAAATTTAAAACTTAAAATTATTTTAATATTTTATACTCTATTTCTAGTGTCATCTTAGCATTCATAACTTTTGACCCCAACCATTTCTCGAGAAAGTAATACTTCAAAAGTGCAGTCAATTTCTAATAAAATTTTGTGCGTAGATTGATTTAATACATGAAATTCTTACATTCTTATTTAAGGTAGGATTCACAGAGGTGAATTCACTATTCAAAAGGGATTTCAGCTGAAATGGATACCTATTCAGGATGCGTAATTGCAAAAACTTTTACTCACTAGCTGCTCCATACAGATTATTACTACTATTCAACCTTTGAAATGCATATACACAGATGTCTACCTATGGACAAGATAAATAAAACGTTTCTCAAACACATTTGTGTATATAACTTAAGGAAACATTTAATTTGTTACGTATACTATGATATTTATTACTACTTAAATGTTTACTGCATAAGAACTAAACCAACTAACCTTTCTAGTGATTGTATGTAAAACGTGATACATGAGTAGTACTAACTCTTAAACTATCTACCCTCAATGGTAAAAATCTTCTATCAATTAATTTTATGATACTTAATAAAAATTGAATGTCTGAAGGGTACTAACTGATATGATGGTCATTAAATAAGCTTTAGTTTAAACAAAATCAGCGACAGTCAACTAGTTAATAATATTATTTTGGTAGAGAAATAAATATACAAAGTACAGTCAGCAGAGCATAAGATCGGGAAATGACCAGTATAAAATAACAAGATTTAGAGAATGTTTTAAAATAAGTGCATCGACCGCAAAATAACCGATTTTAAGCCATGTCACCTATAGTCACTAATTACAGACTACAGTTATCTGTCCTATGTTAACCCCGGAATTTGTAAGTCTAAAGATGGCTCTTTTTATGACAATCCATGCTGGTGGATATCGTTAACCATGATGACGAACACTAAGATGAATTACTGATTGCCATCAACTGGCTAGTACAATAACATTTATATTCAGAATGGAATACATTTACTTTAACAAGCACCATACTTTTAGACGTATTAGATTCCCAATTGTAGTCCCTATGTAATATTACCCAAAATTCGAAACTTAAGCAAGAAAAGCACAGTTACTAATAGCAAATAAATCTAGCAGTAAACAGGAACGCTTGCTGTAACATACATGAATACATGAAAATATAGGGAAAATGAAGTCAACAATTCGAAGGACAATGAAAAGATTGTTTTAATTGTCTTATGCTTTGATTAAGACAAGCTAACTTGAGACTTAGTGTATCAAAGAAGTACAAAAGGCATGAAAATTTAACATTAGGACAACATAGTATGGTAAGTTTCTTGAGTGATAACAAGTGATTGAAATTTATGAATACAGCATACTGAAAACATGACATTTCATGCACTGATGTATAAAAGATCGACTGCTTAAAATTAATACTAAATAGTTGTACAAATTACAAATAAACCAATCAGACGGTTATCTACGTATTTTAATAAATGCAATAAGCATACTTTCCATATAAACTGAAAACAAAATACCAATGAAATATTACTGAATGATTTAACTGTACCAGTTATCCAGTATTGAAGACTTGAACAATCTTCTCAAGAATAAGTCAATCAGCTAAAACGTAGGACAACACAAATACATCATTAGCACAACAAGATGAACACCAAATTCATAGTAGTCACATCGATGGTAGTAATGCATAAAAGAATGGACTGTGTATAAAGATATACTACAGGAAGAAAGAATTAGTTCGTAGAAAGAAAGATATGAAGCAATTTCAATCTCACGGTTTAAGGGATGACAAAGAGTGCATACACCGACGCAATTGTGATCAATTCTGAGCCATGTCACCCAGAGTCTCAAACCATTGGTTACCGTAGTCACACGAACTCCAACCAAGTAGTCAGCATCTATCAACATGGCTCATATAAGTAGTTAGTGACTTCGAGGACTGATGCCACGTTTTGATTTGGCCACCCCTAACTTTCTTTCAACCATCCCCAACACATTGCGCGTCGTGGTAATCGGTATTCAGGCATACGTAACAAGTGGCCCAACCATCTCAGTTGATGAAGATTTACAACCTCATCAACTGATTTACCATCATTCCCTAATACCTTGCGTCTAACCACACTATTACTTACCCGATGATCCCAACAGATGCGAGCTATATTTCTAAGACATCTGTGGTCAAATACTAGAGTATCTTCTACTCTTGGTGGCTACGTTTCACAGCCGTAAAGTAGAACAGAACGAAATGTCGTGCAGTATACTCGTCCTTAATTGATAGACGGATATCTCGCCTTCGCCATAGGTGACGTAAGTTGGCAAAAGCCAAACGAGCTTTTCGAATCCGTGCTGAAATCTCGTCAGACACCAACCCATTAGGGCTGATCAGACTTCCAAGATAAGTGAAGCTGTCGACGCGTTCAACTATTTCACTCCTTATCCTTAGTTCAGGTGTTGACGCAGACCAGTCCTGAAGCAACAACTTGCATTTAGAGGGGAGAAACACATCCCAAACATCCTGGTATTGTTGCTCAGTGCTACCGAACGACTGCATTTTATCATCGTCTTCACCAAACAGGACTATATCATCTGTGTATTCTAAGTCTATAAGTGGACCTCCTGGAAAGAGATCAATACCCGATAATTCAGTAGACGAGAATATTATTTCCATCAGTATGTCTATGATGAAGTTGAACAAAACTTGAGACAGTGAACAGCTTTGTCGTTCACCATAACTCCGACTCAGATGGTGGTGATTGATTAAAGAGACTTCACAAAATTTATATACTTCCAAGGTAGATCCTTCAATGACAACAGTGTCGAATGTTGAGTTTAATTTAAGAAAGACCACCATTGTCGGACGCCGATAAGCATGCCTGTATTCTAAAATCTGACGAATGGTGAATGTGTAGTCAATGCAGCCATGACGAGGCTCAAAGCCAGCCTGATTTTCTCGTGTTTACAGTTCACGAGTCTTTGTCAGGTACCCAATAATCATTGAGGCTAGTATTTTAGATGCTATATTAGTCAAACTAATTCCTCTATGGTTATCACAGGATTACTTTGACCCCTTCTCATATATTCGGACAATCAGTGATTGAGAACAGTCAGATGGGTTTACATTCAGTTTCCAGATTTCACCCAAAATATTAGTCAACCTAATCGCTAAAATTAGACCACAATACTTAAAGACATCTGGAGCCAACCCATCTGCTTTTCCTCGTTTCAGATTAGCTATAGCCTTTTGGACTACTTCAATGTTCCATTCAGGCTGTCTGGGAACGGTGGGTAGTTGTAGAGTAGCTGAAGGTCAGATGAACTGCTCCCTAAACTGTTCCGCTCATCGTTCTAAATGTCTGGGCTGAGAGCGGATAAGAGTGTTGTCTTTTTCTGAGATCGTCTCACACATCACTTCCTAATTCCAGTTGAATTTATTAGTCTGAAAAGCTGTCTGGTGTTACCTACAGCCGCTGCCTTTTCTATCTCTTTTGCTTTCGTTACCCACCACTGCTCATGGTCGTTCCTTAGACTCTTGGTTAATTTAAATCTGATTTGTTTTCACTCTTCATCATGTTCAGAGCCTGATGGGATGACTTTACGAGAATCTATCAGTGCAAGAGACCTAGTAGAAACCCATTTGTTCTTCGTAACCCTTTGGTTTAAATCACTAATGAATGTCGCTGCTGTTTTGGTTTAAGCTACCTACCTTGGCACTAAAGTCACCTGCTACGAGTACTGTGTCTGAGCGGGTAGCTTTATGAAGAAGTTCGGAAAGCTTTCTGTAAAGGTCATCTTTCAATTCATCCGAGCTGCAGTCCGTGAGAGCGTAGGCAGGAACGACGAAAAGGCAACGATGTGTGTCTACCCTTCCGAGTTCTTACAAAGCCGTTTAGCTGAACAACACATAGGCGACTGTCAACGGGGACCCATTCTAATATTGCTTGTTCTGCCCTCATACTTAGTCCTATGCCAACACCTGCCAGTCCACGAGAACTAGCCATCGGGTCACCAGATAGATGAAGAGCGTATCTCGTCGGCTCTGCGTTTTGGCGAGGTGAGGTCAAGTGAATGACAACACTAGGATCCTGTACGCGTGTTTCCGAGACACAACATACATAAATCGTACGATGGACTAACCCCTGAGATTGTTAGGGATGGTGGTGGAGTTTTGGCAGTTACACTAACTAAATCCGAGCTACAATCTCGGGTCTGGATGTAATTTCATTTGGCAGGTCTTGATCACTGATCATCCCAGTCTAGGAGAAGGGATAAAAATCCTCTTGCGAGGAGACAGTTTAACTAATCTAGTGTCTAAAATGTTAGCCTCAATAATACTTCGACGTCCAACTATAGCTCATGTAGAGCAAACCCGAGGACATTAGGCTGGTTTCAGACTTGAGGGTGGATGTACAAATCGAATATTCACCCTCCGGCAGATTCTGGAACATAGACGTACTTTCTGATGTCCGAGTATAGTTGTATTCGTTGACCACAAGGCGATGTCCAACCCCGTTGATCATGAGGTTCTATGGTTTTGTCTCAATGAAAGGTGTATCAGATAACCACATCAACTTGACCGATTTGACATAGAGTATGTACATTGAAGGCTCCAATGTGTAGTTTGGAGCGAGGTTTCAGTAGACCTGGGACAGTATTTCGCGCACTAGAAGCGTTGGCCATGGTGACACTTGCGGAGGAAGTCAAAAGAGCAAGTTTAGAGTTGAAAGATGACCTAGGAGGAATAACAGGAATTGAAGACCGAGACTGAATATGAATAGTGATCTTGGGTGCTGTCTGAGGTATGAGAGCAGTTATCACTTACCAGTTGCCCATACTGTGGAAGGGTTCTTCTGGAGTTACCTGAAAAGAAAATTGGGTTAGGGGTGGTCTTAGTGACCTGAGAGCCTGACCGCAGTGCCCAAGGTACAACTGATCGAGGTCGGTCACACACGACCTTTATGTGAGTAATTTTCGTGTTAGCTCCGTACTTATGGGAAAATAATAATTTTTAAAGAGGATTTTGAACAGCTTAAACAACAAGCAAGGTTTTTAAAAAATGCAGTTGACAAAATAAAAACCAATTTTACGTAGTGTGATTTGTAAGTGATTGACATATATGACCGAATTTTTGAAAATGCCATCTTCTAGTGCTTACAGAGTATTTTCACACGATTATTAAAATAGATAAAAGTCAACGCAATATCAAAGATAAACAACGCTTAAGTAAGTAATAAAAACTTATGTGTCAACCTCCGTGCATAAATCCTTAGTTAGAAGTCGACAGAAGTAAGTACCATACAATGAACAGCTGTCGTGATAAGGACCTCAAGAAGTTGTAGAGCTCACTGCACTGAGAAGATAAAGATATGCTCACTCTATGGCATTATTAAGGGTACATTTTTAGAATGAATATTCAAGGTAGATTGAATCAAAAACTGGTTTTTAATTATTTAAAATTCGAAACCTTCAATTCTAAATAATTTAAGACCTTCAATTTCAAGGTGCAATTTCTCGAACCTGATCTAACACAAAATGATACATTTGATATACCTGGATCAAAAGCGAAATGTGGCGATGTGATTGGAAACCTTGTCTCAAGATCAATAAATCATAACCTCAAGTAATGGCTTCAAAGCATTTTAATAAGGTGGTCTATTTATCGGGACATTAGCACTAAGCTTCCCGAGTCAAACCGACATTAAGAAATACATCAAAATAAATGTTAGGAAAAGCAGTTGCAACATTTTAACGTATAGACAGGATTTATTCATGCTATTTTAAACATGAAAATGAAAAGACAAAAACACAACAAGCAGTTGGAAACATGGAATAGATTAAGGTGTAGAAAATACGGAATATTTTAGTCAGAGTCACTTATATTTAGCGATATAGGTTAGAGATCTAATCACAAGATGGCAGTTGAAGCACTGACAGATTCAGTCTGAGTAATCTTCATTTGTTACAATTTGGCTACAGTTTATAAAATAGCAGACGCTGACCTCGTTACTTTTTCAGAAGCTACAAAGGATCCTAACGGATAAGTTATTTTAGGGAATTATAGATGGTAACCCAGAAAAGTATAACTTAGGATAAAACACTAGTCGGAACTAAACAGCGAGTAAACCCTAATAAACCTAGATGAAATCAAAAAAGGAATAAAATAGGATAAATTTTAAGCTAGAAATTTAGAAGTGGTTGAGATGTAATATTTGTAACTCAATCGTTATTGAGTTCAGTGAGCAGTGCTGTTTGAAGTGAAAACAGGACGAAAACTCTAACGCAGTCAGACATGATAAGAGCACCCAAAAAGTAGACAAAGTGTTATAATTTGTCGTTATGATATGTGAGATCAAAACAAATATAATTATTAAAATAAACAGCAAATAATTTTGAAATCAGTCAATAAAAGGACAAAAGATTTCACACCAAAAGTTTATTTATAAACTCAGATATTATCACTTCTGCAAGCACATTACAAATCATTCGAGGGAGTGATAACAAGGTCTATGTACAAATAAGAATGTACCCAGAGTTCTTTTAACAAAGTCAACTATCGTACGCCTTTGAGACGCCATAATCCATCATTCAAATAATGTACATTTTTGACCCCAATGCCATTGTTGGTTGACAAGCTATTGGAATAGAAAGAGAACAATAGTAGAATAGCAAATATTAAAACTATTTTAGGAATACAGTTAGTTTACTTAGCCTTTATAATTTAAGTAAATTAATTTACAACTAAACATTTTAAACATGCAATTCAATTTATGTAGAAAAACTTTTCAACATTACGACCAAATAAAAACAAAAATTTCATTCCAAAAGGTTAACCAGTGAATTGTAAGTTCAGTAGAAACATCTCATCGTAATATGATATAAAATTGAAAGTCTTGACTTTAAAAGAAAATGTGTAACCGAAAACCCCATTTAAGCTTACGATCTAAAAAAAAACTAGCAGGACTAAAGTCAAGAATACTGACAACTGTAAACAATAAATTAGACCTGTCTTTTTGGTTGTACTAAATATTTTTGTTTCTTTTCTTGATACTACTTAAGCTTGTGCAAGGTATATTAGTTTATTCATATTTTTTCTGACAAAGTGACTCACACTGAGTCACGAAACGTCAGAAACTTAATTTTCTAGTCATCAAGATACAACAAATATATCATTTTTATTATTAACAATCCACCTGATACTCATTTTATTCCAAATTATCAAATAAAACCTTATCAACAATACTAATTGATAGGTGTAAAGCTTCCATCTCAATACACAATGGAATTACCGAAAATATGGAGAATAAAAACAGCACAACTGCCTTTGGAGCCAAAAATCAGAAATACTGACATTTTGATCTGCATGCAACTTTCGTCACGGATCGACAACAGTTAGGTTACGATTGAAAACTATAAGGGACTTAACTGTATTACCTATATATAGGACTCCTAAGTAATGGACACAATTCAAACAACTGAACTGACACTACCATATCTTACATAGTGCTACTCATAAATCAGAATTTGAATCCATTTTACTTTAATCTATTAGAAATATTTTGAGATAGTTCTCGGTGGGTAATTAATTTTCTCTTGAAATGGTTGAACTCCATGATTAGGAATGAGAATACATTCCACAATTAGACATTTGTGAACATTAGCTTGATTCGTAGATGGTGATTGTGTTGTGTTTACGATAACAATAGTTATCCTTATGTTTACAACCTGTTTAATACCAGGTAGTTGATACCTCTCTATAGTAGTCACTCGGCCTTGTAAAATACTATATATAAGCTATGTTTACTTCCATTTTAGTTTTTTCTAAAAACATGAAATTTCTCTAGCAAAAATGCAGCCTTTTCTCCTGGATCTGGCTTTTATTGTTGAATTGTATATTACTTGTTCGATATGCTTGGTCAAATTAAATTGGATTTCGTATTTGCAGTACCTCTTTAACTTTATTATCAACCTACAACTAAAATTTACGACATACTGATGTCAATCAACGACTGAAACTATCTACAAAACGCAATAAAATTTACAGAATATTTTGATCAATCAAAAAAGTATATTAAGAATTATACTTTATTCTAAAGCAATGTTCCCACAATACATAAGTGTGTTCATATTGTCACCATCAAATCGCTAATAAAGTCTGGTTACATTCAGTTGCAAGAAAGAGTTTTAACACTAATCGTTAAGAAACTCATCACAAAAAAGGAAATAATATCGTTGCAGAGAAGCAGAAGGTAGAAATCGTAGAATAAAAAATTATTAATAAGACTAAAAGAGAAGAAAGTATTAAAAAATGTGGTCTAAATTAGAACACAATTAGTCCATCATAGACATAGTAAGACCTGGCACAAAAAGTGTTCTTCCAAGTTGTCACAACTCATATCAGCACCACAACAGAGGATATTACCTCAATGAAAAAAAAGAGTGGAAATAATCGGTTACAGTGGAGCTAAACATAATACACAACAGGCAGTACGAAAGGATTAAAAACGTTGGGTGAATTGAAGGACGATTGAGAACAAAATGCAATAGTATCACTGACTAATTCTACTGTAATAAACGAAGACATGGTGAGGAAAAGTAATTTGCTGTTTCACGCAAAATCAGACAGTGACTTTGTAAAACATGAAAATCATACATTGAATACATCATTTGAACATCTTTCTTGAGTTGTTCTTTCAATACTCCATCATTCTTTCAATCCTGTTGTTATCCCAAATGCTGTTTTCCTCCCTTTGCATTTCAATCTTCTGCCGGTAAACATTCCAATTCCTTCTACATACTACTTGTCTGCCCGCATAAGCAGCACACACCACACACCTCCTAAATTGCAAGCTATTTTTAACCTCTAATATCTTCTGCGAGACTACATTATCGTGAACTATAGTATCCTGTTTTTCTTTTTTGGTCCCTTTATTTTTTGTTGCTCAAAATCACCAGATTACTTCAAGACAAGCATCTCTTTCATGGCTAGGCAAGCGATTATCTAATTCTTCCTCAAACATTCTAGATATTTTCACCCTGAAGCTAATGCTTGACAAGTATTTTCAATTATGATTCCTATATATTCACTAAAAAGTAGGCAAATAACGGCTTGCAGTAGCGCATGATCAGATTAAAGGCATGAGCTGCAGGGGCTCCTGTCCAATGTCGGACTTCCTTGACAATCTTTGATAGAAGTAAGGTGTGTTTGCGTCAATCACTAAGTTGGTTACCGAACTACATAATGCCTTTATTTTTTCTCAAAATTGGTACTTTCTGAAAACAAATTGCTAATTGACTATGTTTGAAACACACTAGGCTTATATGTTAATCGAACTTCGGTGTCCAAAGCAAACCTTGCAAAACATGGACAATGTATGTATGTATTAAACATAGACACAATCTAAGTGTCAACTTACGAATTAGAATATTTAGGAAGTTAACAGAGATATTGGAATATATAAAATGCACACTGGTTTTTTAAGTATGATTTACAAACATGGTGAAACAGACCAAGAGCATTTTCTAAAATACTAAGCATCATTATTATATTTGTGTGAACTAGGACGCTGTCTGGGTGTTCAAACCGAACCAGGTGGCCTTCTCAGAGAACCAACCCTCAAGTCTTTGGCCAACAGATCTAGTCTATTTGACAGCGGAGCAAGATCACAAGACGGAGTCCCATTGTAGCCGGTGATTAGAATAGGTTCATCTGCCATTTGAGCCTATATATATATAATTGGGTTGGAACTAATCGACCTGAGGAAATAGCAATTGACTCCATGAACTGGAGCGGTGTAATTTCGTTTGATTATCTTATTCAATTGATATTGATCAGCTCCAGGTAATGGATTACTATGAATTCCTGGATAAGATGTTAGTAAATAGAACAGTTTATTGGTTTATCAAACATCGTGCAGGACATAGGTCAGTGAGGAAGCCTTTGTATATTTTTGTTTCCCATAAATAATAAGATATAAATCATAACTGAGCGAAACACATCTAAACTGTGTTTTTAATTGGACTGTTCCTTTTGTAACTCCTTTCTTGTTTATTTTTATCTTTTACACAATAGTTTGTCTTCTTCCATTTCTCGAATGTTTTGACTGTACTTTGTATAACGTCTTTTGTGGTACCCCATTACAAATATCGTCGTAATAAGCTGATCTAACTACAGTGAATAACAAAACATTTCTCTGCGGCTAACGTTGGCATTTATAGTTTTATGATTATTCAGGTCATCCACTTAACTTCAATGAACAGTCGTTTGAACTATATAGCTTCATTTCGTCAATACAAATGATTCCGACCATAATTTCAAATAAAACGTTACGCTGGAGCTTTTAGTTACACAGAAACTGGATTGGTTTTTAGTAGAGTCATTATTATATAGAACCACAACTGTCTATAGTTATATCAGATTAATCTAGATGCTTTTCAGAGAAATAAAAGGTGTATATTTAAACCTGTTTGTCAAGAAACAGGACTTCAAAGTTAGCTCATCGTGTCCTGTAACACTAAGATAAATACGAAGCAGACTAAAATCCAACGAAAGATATTTCGGATAATACATGTAAATGTAACTTAACTAACGAGCAAATGTTAATGTATTCAGACTTCGGCTACACTATTTGAGTGAGGATAAGTGAAAGAACTATTTTCACAGCGAAGTGGGTGGGGAGTGGTTTTTGTTTGAAAACTAAGAGATTTATCCATTAAGCTACTTCTTCACACGCAATGATATATATATATATATATATATATATATATATATATACACCCTGAAGGTAATTCATCTTCATACTGATTTTCAGAATCGTTGGATATCATACAGGTTCTGTACAGCCTAAAAAGCAGTTTCATTTTGCAGTGCAACTACTACACAAGTATCAAGAGCTATAGTCCATCAAGAACACAGAATTCTACAGAGTACTTGCTCTTGAAAATCTACATCCGAATAAGACCGCTAGCACTTTTCGATATATTTCTGTATAAAAAGTACATTTAAAACAAAATCCTCCGAATTCCTTTTATATTACTGAAAATTAATTTCAGCAATTTGTTTACATGAACATTGTTTTTCTCATTAAAGCGCTGAAATAAAATAGCACAAAGTAAAATGTTACTAAACAACAAATCAGGTTTTTTTCCTACCAGTAATACACTAAGTTTCAAATGTAGCAATTCAGACAATCAAGATCAACCAGTTATTTATCTTCAGTACCTTGGTAAGAATCAAAGATTCTAAAAATACTTTTAAGGTAAATTCAAAATATTTTCCACATAAATAAAGCTTTTCGAAAACTCACATCTCATCAGTAGATAACATAGTAATACCAACTGCGAGTGCATTTTTTTTACCTTCTGCCATTACAGCAACAACTGACTCCTTAGGAACTTCTGTCATCCGAGCACCGGGTGATGTCAAACCACGACACATAATATTTGACCCATTTAAAACATGCTTGATAGCACCTCTGTCAACTTGTAAATGAGGTAGGATGAAAGGATCTGAACAAGTTAATAAAGTTTTGTGTAGGTTTAGAAAAAGCGGACCAACTTCCTCCAAAAATGAATGCATAATAAAGTGTATTTAACAGACATATGGCTTGACATAAGTTGAGAGTTTTGGAGACCATTCAACAGTCGTTATTAGTTGGTGATATGTCAGTCAGTCAGTCAGCTACAACGTGGGACCAGGCACATAAATGCATCGGTCCAAGTTGCCATACCTCATTAACACAAGATGGACGCCGGATTCATAAAATTAGTTAATTCAGAGGTGGTAATATATAGAAAAAAGATTGCAATAAGGATATAGTACAGGAAGAAAGAATTAGTTCGTAGAAAGAAAGATATGAAGCAATTTCAATCTCACGGTTTAAGGGATGACAAAGAGTGCATACACCGACGCAATTGTGATCAATTCTGAGCCATGTCACCCAGAGTCTCAAACCATTGGTTACCGTAGTCACACGAACTCCAACCAAGTAGTCAGCATCTATCAACATGGCTCATATAAGTAGTTAGTGACTTCGAGGACTGATGCCACGTTTTGATTTGGCCACCCCTAACTTTCTTTCAACCATCCCCAACACATTGCGCGTCGTGGTAATCGGTATTCAGGCATACGTAACAAGTGGCCCAACCATCTCAGTTGATGAAGATTTACAACCTCATCAACTGATTTACCATCATTCCCTAATACCTTGCGTCTAACCACACTATTACTTACCCGATGATCCCAACAGATGCGAGCTATATTTCTAAGACATCTGTGGTCAAATACTAGAGTATCTTCTACTCTTGGTGGCTACGTTTCACAGCCGTAAAGTAGAACAGAACGAAATGTCGTGCAGTATACTCGTCCTTAATTGATAGACGGATATCTCGCCTTCGCCATAGGTGACGTAAGTTGGCAAAAGCCAAACGAGCTTTTCGAATCCGTGCTGAAATCTCGTCAGACACCAACCCATTAGGGCTGATCAGACTTCCAAGATAAGTGAAGCTGTCGACGCGTTCAACTATTTCACTCCTTATCCTTAGTTCAGGTGTTGACGCAGACCAGTCCTGAAGCAACAACTTGCATTTAGAGGGGAGAAACACATCCCAAACATCCTGGTATTGTTGCTCAGTGCTACCGAACGACTGCATTTTATCATCGTCTTCACCAAACAGGACTATATCATCTGTGTATTCTAAGTCGATAAGTGGACCTCCTGGAAAGAGATCAATACCCGATAATTCAGTAGACGAGAATGTTATTTTCATCAATAGGTCTATGATGAAGTTAATCAAAAATAGAGAAAGTGGAGTTGGTGATATGTGAAACGCACAGGACTTGACATCTTATTTTCATGTAGGATGCTTCGACAAATACACTATAATTTAGGTTGATGTGTCAGTTAAGACACATTAAACTATATGAAATCACCAAACGTCAGTTAGGATAATCGTGAATACAAACAGACAAATGTGGTTTTCTGGGCCAAATATGCATCTGTCGGAAACTATCACAAAATCATTGAGTGTTAAAAACTCTCACAAATAACTGACTGCATATTTCCAAATGTTGGAAGCGATTATGTTATGACGCAGTAATTCCAGTGAATGGGAGAACTTAAGTATTATAAAGGGCCAGATAAAAACAATTCGCAGTTCTATCTTGGCACATCTCATTGATAGCGGTCATGCTGTTGACAAATCGAAATCATTTCGAGGGATCTATCGTATACCTCCATCATTTCACAAAGGAGTTCGTTGCCGCCTTCTACATATAGCTGAAGCCATAGGAATTTGTACATATAACCCCAATTTATGTGTAAAGAAGAAATTCGTAACCCCCCTATCCCTCCCATGGCCAGTTATAACTTAACTAACGATTTTTAAAATTATTATTTATTCATTTTATTCTATTTTTTGTTATCATTAGCCTTATATTCACATCTAGTATTTGTTTGTGATTTTCCGCCTCTTCCCGTTTGTATTCTTCACTAACTAATTATTTGCACACTTCTTATTGCGTAATAGTATTAATGTTTTGTGTTGACTATTCCAAGTCCACTTACCCACGTTTGACCTTCCATTTCCAACGTTTAACTATTGATAAGACTTTTGTTATGTTATTTTATTATTCTTACTACTATCAGTACATCTGTCTTCCTACTATCAACTTGTATTTTTACTTATTATGTGTGGTGACTTTTTCTATTTCATTGTGATTATTGACCCATATTGCCTTGATTGGTTTAACATTTTCGTATAAATATTCATGTATTAGAGTAAAGCTTGATGACGATCTAATTGAAAACAATTGTTCGCTTATATGTGTTGCTCTAACTTAAATATTGTTGGTTGTTATGCATACGATCAGACTAAAATTTCTGGCTTACAACTTTTGCGAAAAATAACCATTGGAAACTATGCGGTAAAGTTATAAATCAACTAAAGCACTCACAAATGTGACTCATCATCAAATAGTACGTAGACGATCACAACCAGAAACTACTTACATTTGTGAAGCAATCTCAGCGATGGAATAAACGGACCCTCACGTTGTCGGAAAAACATGACTTCACCGTCAGAATCTGAATACAAGTCGACATGTTCATGACTTAATTTGTTTAATATTAAACCCCAGAACCTTACCACTTAATGTGTTTTACAACATCTTTCTTGGGTAAAATCTGATCAACCATTTTACTATCAATGCCATAACCTTCAGTCAGTCGAGTGCGTAAAGATTTCACGATGGAGTTCTTAGCATTATTTGTACAGGAAATGTCCTCCTTTTCGTCAAACCTACAAAGACGATTAATAATAACTCGACCTCACTTTTTGAACATGTGCAGTTTTGTTGGCAGTAATTTGTATTGTTATGGAGTCAGACGAACCCTTAACAAGGGACGGGAGTCAGTTGTTGTGGTTTGTGTCAGGCCAGAAGGTACTTTGTGTATAAGAACACGCACAATAGCTTGGAGTGCTAGAAAAAGGAACATAAGGTAAAGTGAGTCAACGACACAACAAGCGCACACTTAATAGTGAAAGAGACCGACAATGAACAGAAACAACACAACTCTATGACTAAGACAATCTTATAAATCAAAAGCTAGAGCAAAATGCCCAAACCACCGCACAACTTATGACTGAACTTACCTCTTCTTTTGACGACCTTGAGGAACCTGTGTGTACAAATAGTTCAAATGGTTGTGGACGGAATAGAAGAAGCTTTCGCTTAACAGGCTTCCGTGTCTAGTAGCAGGGGATCACGACTAACTCCAGGCAGGAACCTAGGTATGTTAACAATAAAAAGGGAAAAAGAAATCGGTAAATAATATTATGATACTATCCTTAATCCTTAAAAATAGATCAAGTTGCCTATTAAAGGTCTCCTGGGAAGTCTCTTGGACTAGCTCGGCCGGCAGCGAATTCCAGCGTTTGACAACTCTTAAGGAGTAGAAGTTGTGTCTACAGTCCTTTCTGCTATGTTGTGTCTCCAATTTCTGGGTGTTACCTTTTAGGTTAGTGTTGGAACTAAGCTTAAGTAGGTGATTGAGATGATGTCCAGAAGTGTTAAGGATACTGTAAGCCATCAGAAGGTCACCTCTAAGACGTCTATACTCTAATGGGTAAAGGTTAAGTGATTGAAGGAGCTCTCCATAAAGTTTGAATTTGAGTTCTCGAGCTGATTTCGTGGCTCGCCGTTCGATACGCTCCAGAGTGTCCTTGTCCTTCTGGAGTGAAGGAGGAAATACTCTGTTTCCGTACTCTAAATGGGGACGGATAAAACTATTGAAGATTGTATGGAAAGTTCGTCTGTCAAACTGTCCAAAAATGCGCTTCAACGTTACCAGTGCAAAGTTTCACGTCGTCGGCAAAAATAATAAGTCTGACGTTACTTGTTGAGGAAGATCATTTATGTAGATCAAGAAGAGAAGAGGTTCTAGTACTGAGCCCTCGGGGACCGCACTAGGACATTCCATAGCCTGAGATAAAGTGAAATTAACCATGACATTAAAGTGTCGATTTTTCAGGTATGAAGTAAGCCAATCGATTAGAGGTGGTCTGATACGCAGTCGTTTGAGCTTCTTGATAAGACATAAATGGTTAACCTTATCAAAAGCTTTTGAGAAATCTAGGTAGATGATATCAACCTTCCCCTTGTGATCGAGGATGCTCGTCCATCTTTTCACCGCAGTCAGAAGGTTGGTTATACAAGAGTAACCCTTCCTGAAACCATGCTGTTGTGGTGAGAAGAAATTTAAGGACAGTAAATAGTCATTTATACCATCACATATCAGGGACTCCATGATTTTTGAAGGTATTGAGAGAAGAGCCACCGGTTGGTAACTTGAAGGTTCGCTGCGTCGACCCTCTTTGAAAATTGGTGTGATGTGAGCCAACTTCCAATTTTCCGGTAGTTTTCCTCGGCTTAGCGAGTGTGAGAGCATCACGCTAAGCGGCGTTGCCAGGATTGAGGCTGCTTCCCTCAGTATGGCAGAATGAACCATATCCGGGCCAGGAGAAGTGTCAATTCTTAAGTGTTGCAGTTTCCGGAACACCAAGTCAGCGCTCGGGTTCACTTCGGAAAGTCCTTCGAAGTTGCATATTAAGCTTTCGTCAGTATAGTTTATGTGGGTCGGTTGAAATGTCCGAGAGTATTGTCCAGCCAAAAGGTTAGCGGCGTCGCCGTCGTCACAGGTCGGGCTGTTAAGACCTAGCAGTTGGGAAACTCTAGTTTTGGTTTGACGAAGAGAGGCTGCATAACGGAATAAGCTTTTCGGATTACAGACAAATTTGTCCATAAGCTTTGTCTGGTACTGAAGCTTGTCTTCTCTTATGGCCTTCGTGCATATGTTCCTTATATGTTTATATTGCCTGTACGCTCAATTGTTGTCAATTCGTTTGTACTCTGCTCATCAGTGCCTTTTGCGGCTTAGCAGGCGAAGAGTGCGGTTCCTAATGATTGTTGGTTGCTGATAGCTATTGGGGACCGTTTGAGGAACTAAATGATTTGTAGCATATATGAACGTGTGCAGTAAGAAGTCCGAGTGAGCATCCACATCGAGTTGAGGGTGAACATCTCAATCCACCTGTTGTAGATAGTCCTGTAGAGCTGACACATTCAACCGTTTGAAATTCCAGCGCAAGTTGTTGGTGGGATATCTCAGCTCAGTTTTGCTGACGAAACTGGCTACTCCGCCCCCAATTCCTGTTTTTCTGTCGTTGCGGAACAAAGTCATCCCAGGTAATGCTAACTCTTGGTCCGAGAACTGAGAAGATATCCAGGTTCCAGATATTCCTATCAGATGGGCCTTATTAGCACTGCTAAGTTCGCGTAATTCATCCAGTTTGTTTGGTAGACTCGCGGCGTTCATATATAATTAGTTTATGCTTTCAGTTTGAAACGCGTGAGATTCGTCCTGTTTTTCTGTATGAGCCCTACGTGAATGGACAGGTAGCCTAACTATATAAGGTTTGCCGAGTTGGCAGGCCCTGTACTTTACACGTGTTTTTTATCATTTAGACAGTCCACAAGTGGAATGGTCAGCTCCAACTTGCCTTTGTGCTTGATCCTAGTTTCATATGGCCTATCCGGGTACATATGGTTTCCAGCTGGCAACTGAGGTCTGTTGGCACGAAATGCCTCCAGAGTTGCAGCCACCATGTGGGAAGATGAGAAGGTTATCTTCATTAGCCGAGGTCTGGAATCACCGTCCTTCTTGACTAGTCTCGTCACGTGTTGAGTCAGTATGCGTTTGAGCCTCAGGGATTGTTTGATGAATTTCCATTCCTTGATGTCGGATTTTGCTTGATTAGAGTCCGTGTTTTCCGGTACACCTTGCACAATTATATTCCTTCCGCGGAAAAACTGATCGCGAGGTACGTTGGTGATGTTCCGGATATGATTGCGCTCAGAATACGGCATGTCAGGTAGTACTCTTACATTCCCATCTGATTTCAGTAAATGACTCGCTAGAAAGACATCCTCTACGTCGGTAGCATTCTTAAGTGTTACACGAAGTAGCCTCGGGTAATGGGATTAAGTGAGAACCTAAATACAAATGTTGTTGAATATATATCTCAGTAACGGAATTTGTTAGCATATACAGTAGTACATAACAGTCAAAGTATAACTAAGCTGGATAGACATAAGTGGACTGGAATAGTAATTCAATAAGACGAACAAAATATCTGAACCTTGTAGAGGTAAATAAACCGCCTAAGTAAATAGTTATGTAGGTCACCAACTTTTGACCTTGACCTAATTAGTTTTAATGGATATATATAGCCGAAGGATCTCTGTCACGCACCTGCACTAGATTATGGGTGGTTAATCCATGCTACACATAGCTTGCGACTGTTAACCAGCCTAGATCAAACGCTTCCAGATATTTCAATAGCCTTTCAAATATGTATTTGAAGCACTTCACGTTTTGCATCTGTCCTGATTGGACTTGCATACTTCGATTACAAAGGTGTTGTTGGTAAAAATCATATCAAACTCCGAATACATGTGGCATCCTCTATGTAATTGGACTTCATTTATACTGACACTGGTATTTAAGGTCATTAGCAGTTGTCTAAAAATAAAAACAAGACTGAAGATGAAGTATTTAGCAATATTTTGTCATGCAATCAATCCAGAACTATATTAGGCTGATCTAATATGTGTTTTTCTAATAATAATTTCAACTAAATACAGTGTAATTAATCAGGCAGTATGTCTCAAAAAACATTCATTTTCAGGCTTATAAGTACTCTGCTGTGCTTAGAATTTTGCTTGTTTAATTTAAAGCCAATTGGCAGCCTGAACGTTAGTACTTGGTGTATGATCGCTATATTACCACATTTAGTAGATGCGTTCCGTAATCACATGGAAGTGTAAACATCCGAGTAGATTTCTCCAAGTTTTTATTAAGGTTATTAGATCTTACTAAGTGGCGCAATCTGTTTGGTCCGTATAAAGCTGCATATTTTGCACGAGCAACTTCTGAAGTTATTTAATTGAGTGAATTACTGGCTTAAGAAGTAAAACAGCCACACAAGTAGATAGATTGTAAGGACAACACTGAAATGTTAAACTCAAATAAACTTGTTGATAAGAACTCGATGACTTTAGCACAAGACGTGAAATGCATTAGGACCTGAATATCGAGAAAAACAGGAAGCGTACGTTAAAAAGTAGACATCCAGATAATAACTACGCAACAAATTATATGATGTTTGTGATGACAAGATTTTGTCTTTATCGAAACCACAAATTTTTGTATTAAAAACATGACAAGTCTTCTAAGTAGACGTTTGATCAATCTCACACGCTTCTTCAATAACCTTAAGACAAATCTTCCGAACCTAAATAAGAGAGAGAAGGCTCTAAGTATTAAAAGAACGCATTACTTTAGGATCAGTCCTTGCCCAGAAAATAGAGGCCATTCACAGTATTTCAGACGGCCCTGAGCCTCTAGATGTTCCTGAAATTATACTAAACTCAGTGGCAGGAAATTAATCATCCAGTAAGAAATGTGACTCTCCACTTTCTAAGTGTTTCTGAGGAGCTTCTATTCCCTGTGTTTTCAGAGCCCCTCTCAAATTTTTCAAGTGATACAACGGACCTCCTCAAGAGTTATTAAAATCTAGACCCTCCCTACAAAAGTTAAGTGATGGAGGCTTTAAGTTGTCACCAAAAATGCCGAATTCTGTTATACGTCGTTCTTTTTTATCCACGTCAGTAAGTAGAAGTGTTGCGGGTGTTATTCTAAATGTCGAAAGTTTTTCGTCAGCACATTAGCCTCAAATGCTTCTATTCATCTCCACTTCTGGATCCGAAGTATGGCTTTTAACT